CATTGCCCGTAAATATCAAAAAGGTTATATTTATTTGTGTGGATTGTAATGTCACAGCTGGAGCATATCACAATAGTGATAAAATACATGGCATCTTATTTGAATTTAATAATAATGTAGAGCCCGTTTACAAACTCACCAAGGAACCACAAAATATAATCCAAAAGGAAATAAATGTTTCGGAATATTAATCTCTCCTAACTACCTACACAGTGGGATATGGTGAACGTCTGTCGGAAAATAACTGGGAAGAGATTAATATTTCGAAATTTCTTTCCAAATATTTATTTTCTTATACGTATGTATCTCTCTTCGATCTTTTTCACTTTTGATTTCTGTTAGAGTTTTGGTACATGGGATGTTTCTTCCTCTCTTGGGGCTTTATTCGCGAGAAGGAGTTCTTACCAGTTAGCAATCTTTCTCTCAGACGAAGGTTTCATATATGTAGCGGAATCGTGTTGAAATTAATCGAGTTACAGACACTTTGCTGTCTGGGTAGGATATTGTATTGATGAGAGGTAATATCTCGAAACCGCTGTCTGCAGGTGATCTACTTGAATAATTTCAGCATGGTCTTGCTGCTGGATGAACGAGAAACATAGGCGAGACTAGCCTCCGCGAGGAATCTCGCATAAATGTCTGTCCGATATAATTCAATATCCAACGTGGTATTAGCCGGGAAAATATTGTTTTCCGACATACATTTACCAGACTCTACTGTGTAGGTAGTTGGGAGAGATTATTTCGAAATTAATACCTGAAAAAAAAACAAATTATATTAAGCAAAAAACCAAGAAATGAAATTACAGTAGAATAAAACACAAGTATAAAATAGAACAATTGAACAAAAATAAAAATTAAGAAATTCCAAGCGAAGTTACTTCACGACGTTTCGATAGTTAGTATCCACAATCGTCTTCGGGTGATGACTGGACTAGTTCCTCCGAGGAATGACTATTTATGGGTCATTTGAGTACATAATTTACACAATCACCCGAAGACGATTGTGGATACCAACAATCCAAACGTAGTGAAGTAACTTTAGTTTGGAATCTCTTAATTTTTATTTTTTGTTTAATTGTTCTATTCTTTACTTGTATTTCATTGCGCTGCATTTCCATTTTAGGGTTTTTTGCTTATTATAATAGTTTTTTCCAACTATTCTTTTTAATTTTTATTTGTATTGGTTCTTTTTGGGATTTCAGATCATTTTATATAATATTAGACAATGAAAGTCCGAACTAATGAAAGATCTCATTACGCTTGGACTGAAATTAGTAGAATTTGTAAGAGAGTGTGAACATGTGGAAAATTGATGCAATCTGATTTAAAAAAAACCTCGATGAGCATCCAAACAATAGGATTTTGGTCTGTTGAATGAAGAATCAGCCAATGTTATATTATCTGATAGTTTGAATAAATTTATGCTAAATTCGTTGATTACCAAATTCTCAGTTATTTTATCAAGAACCAAAAATGACTTTTTAATCTTGAAAGCATTAAACTTTGATTTTATTGTACTTTTTAATGTACGTTTTAATGGCATGTGTTTTTGTAGCCTCCATATCTCAATAAATATTTATTCTATTGATCAATAGAGAATTTTGTACTCCATACATTGTATTTCTTTCCAAATTTTAATTTTTTGCCAGCTTATTACTATATCTTCGAATATGAGCCCAAAGTGGTCGGACCTTCAGTAATCCAGGACGAAAATTTGAGGACCTTGGTGGAGACTGACAAACGGTGCGTGGGATGGCGGAAGAACAGGGCGTCAACTCCCACGTGGTTTTCGATGGTTTGAAACGTAATGGAAAGGTCAAAAAGTTCGAAAAGTGGGTGCCCCACGTTTTGACCAATCGACGGGATTCGTCACGTTTTGAGGTCTGCTATTCTTTGCTTTTGCGCATCCAAAACGATACTTTTTTGGATCGGATCGTCACGTGTGATGAAAAGCGGATTCTCCACAACAACAGGACAGTGTTTGACACCAAAGGGTTGCCCAGGCACTTCCCAAAGGTGAAAACCCACGAAAAAAAGGCCATGGTCACTGAAAGGTGGTCAGCGGCTGGTGTGATTCACTATAACTTTCTGCAACCGGGCCAAATCATCACAGCAGAGTCCGATTGTGAGAAAATCGACGAAATGTACCGAAAGTTGCGTCAGCAGCAGTCGGCACTGGTCGAAAAAAGATATTCGATCCTGCTACATGACAACGCGCGTCCGCACGTTTCTGCCAACTGACTACCATATTTTAAAACACTTCAATAACAATACCAAAAGCGTATTGTTCGGTAATTCAGGACACGAATGATTAGAGAGACAGCAAATANTGGTTTGTAGGAGGAAACATTATTGAAAATGGAAATATTTTCAAATTCAAACGTTATGTCCCTAAAAAAAATAAAACACTTTCAACAAAAATCAGCAAGCGCTCGACGATGAAACAAAAATTTCATAAACTACACCTTACGATTTGATTTCCACAAACTTGGTGGTAGTTTATGAAATAACTATGGATATTCATCAAGTGACGGCCGAATCAATCAGAAAAAAAAACAACAGTTGAGCTACTGGATTTTCATGTCGATGCTCAACTGAATTGGAAAATACATATAAATGAAACTCGAAAAAACTATCCAAGGGTCTTTTGGTTTTGAGCAATCTCAGGGAAGTACTATCTAGCTAAGTATTGAAGACTGTTTACTATGGCATGGTACATTGTCATCTTCAATTCAATTAAATTTATTCATTGGTTTTACAGATTACGGTAAAAGTAATATCTCTTTCGTAAAACAAAATGGAGGGTGACTCCGGAGGCTACAATAAATTCACGACACCGCCAGAACGCTGAGTTATAATTCTGGGTCCACCTGTTCATAAGTTTCATTCATCCTCAAATGAACTGAAGACACAATTCATGAAACATACGTCTGCCAAATTTCAGTTTATTTCAATATTTGTACTTATAATTCCAATTTACTACAGCACATCAACCCATACATCTCTCCACTAGTCTCGTTCACATGTACTTTTTTTAACATTTTTCAGCTCTGTCCAAAAATTACGACCAAGGTGTCATTCGATTCGTATTTTTGCCTAGAAATTTTGAGGAAAGGTACGAAAACGGGCTGATAAAAATTAAAAATACGAGTGTGGGTATTTACATTCTCTTGGAGAACATGTTCGATGTGGGCTTTTAGTTTTAGTTTGGAATCAGGTAATGATCCTCTCGTTTCTTGATCTAGCGTGAAATTTCAATCAACTTTTTTTTATAAAAGGTTTGCCTTTTGCGGGGGATGACAAATCTAAACAAATATAATATTTACTTGTGATCAATGATAACGATATTCAGTACGACTGTAAGCTTTCTAACGATTTCAATTAATTTATTTTTGAGGAGTATTATTTCAGGTCGGAGGGCAAAATTGAAACTCTGCCAAATACTGGAAACCTGATTAGGGCTGTGGTGGTACATGTGCTCTGCTGTTTCATCATCTTTCAAACAAAGACGGCATGCAGTGTCTTCCAACATTTCGTGTCTCTTCATATGATGATTTATATGCCAATACAGGTAGATTTTCCCAGAAATCTTAACCTCTCCTTGCTTTGCAGGTACCTATTCGATTTTTGTATGGCGAAGCCTGAAGTAATGTCAATAATAGGTTCTGATCTGATGATGAGAATGCGTGGAAGTCAGCAACTTCATTATTTCTACGCTAGTGTGGCCAAGAATATACTTTCATTGCAAATAGTATACCCTCACCGTTAAACAAAAGCGGAGTTGAATTATTTTTCTGGTTGAGAGAACATCATAGTTTGCTGGGGTTTTCCTGAATCTGTTCCTTCTGGCATCAACATTGTCCAACAGTCTAAGGTTACCTTTCTCAACGTGATCATTGTCAAAATTTCGAGGTTAGGCAGATAGATCAAAAACACTTTCAGGTTCAGGTGAAGGTGTTTTCAGTCGCAGACCCGAGACAGAGATATCAACCTGCCTGAGAACTTATCTGACTGTATTTCAAGCGGAAATTGTGTGCGGAGAGATTAGAAGAATCCAACCTACACAAGTGAATAAAAATATTCTCGGACAGTCAAGCGGCGTTGGAAGCTTTTAGCTCTTACCCGCGTTGCGGGTTGCGGTGGAGAATCGAATAGACCCACTCATTTTGGACCTCTAACCTATCCTAGGCAAATTAACTGAAATAATAATTTGTTCAGGCCAGTCTAGACTTCCTTATGCAAATCCTATAGTACGTTATAAAAATAAAAGATTACTACTGGAAACAAGTATGTAATTCAAATGATCTACAGCTACAGGAACAATTTGTTCAGGCAAGTCTCAACTCCATAAACTGTAGGTTGATGGACTGACACCTATCAGAAAACAACTATCCTCCTGGCTAATACCACGAAGGGCGTTGGAATATATCCAACAGGAGTCAGTGCATGAATCTTCACAGAAGTATTTTCTGCATATGATGTTGGCGATACAACTGCCTGAATCGATTTTCAATTATAGGAACGGGCACACGTTCAGACCCGTTTCGGGCTATTGGGCCTCTAGACAGTGCAAAGTAGTGGCCATCATCAATCTGAAGTTGATCATATTCCATAATTGAAAATTGAATTCCTTTCAGAGTTCCATTCCTCTAACCAAACTGAAGGAAACGACAAACAACAAATTTGTCATCGCTCCATCTGGTGAACAACCAACCGCAAATCCAAAATTTGCCCAATTCCTCATATAGTTGAAGAAACCTTCACATATATTCAGGTTATGTAATACAAAATCCGTCGAATTCACAGTTTGATATGCAAAATGGTTTGGAGGACTCGCCTTTTATGTCCATTCAGTACCGTTTCAATTACTTTCAGTAAGAAATATGTTTGGTAATTGGTCGTTAGGTAATTGCTTTATGCAATCAGAATGTCTTTCAGGGCCCCCGTTTTACTTTTCAATATATATGTTGTAATTTTTGAAGTAGATTTATAAATTTCCCACTCACCTGACTCATCATTTCGATTGAATAATCGACGAAGCTTTTACCTTCCCCCTTGTTCCACCCTGAAGAGTTTCAATTCCATTTTCTGATTGTTGGTGGGCCTTTTTCGTGATAGGAAGAGATCTCTTATTCGCGACATTGTTCTACCACTCTTCGTTTACAAAAATATTATTTCACATTATTTTATCTGAATCTGTTTCTGTTCCTTCGGTTTGTACTTTCAGAAAATTGAGAAATATACAATGAAAGCAACCAAGAAACAAGTGATGAGTAATGAAGTGAGATATACTGCATATTATACTTACTGCTATTTCCTTTCACGATTTCATAAATCTCATTGACCTTAATGTTTTTCTTCTCATCGTATCCTTGTTCTGTCTCAGGAGGCCCAAACAGCGAAAATGCAATTTTCTGTTTCAACGCCTCATGCTGATCAAATTCAAAGCTGTCATAATCCCTGTCGCCTAACATATCTGCCATGAGCTGCTGATATCTCGTGGAATCCATATCATTTTCATTGGCTGAAGTTTTCTCAAGATTCTTCAGTAAATCTTCTTGACGTTTCTCTTGTTCCAAAAACTCAGCCACATCTTCCAATGACTTATAGAAATCAGCGTCTGATATATTCTCGTCGCTTACACAAGAACTCAGATTTATGCATCCGTTGATGTTCTGGATAAGCAAAATCGCACAGAATTGGCAACGAACCAGAGCGCATACCTGTAGAAGGTTTGATTGTTTCAGTGTTTCTTCCAGACCAGCGTGAAAATTGGTTTCCTCTACATCCCAACCAAGCAAGTAGAAATTTCTCTCCAATGTTTTCCTAACCTTTGGAAGTCGCAGATTCCTGAGGAAGATTGTTGATAACTTTTTGTTCCCATTATGAAGATACAGCAAGAGTACTTTTCGCTGAAAAAACATGTTCATTCATCTAACTCTTGAAAAAGGTTTATGGGTGAAATTACTAAGGCAAAAAATATGAAGGAAGGCTTTCTGACATTCTTCGAACTCGAGGGGGAAAAATTTCATATTCATTTCAGGAGCATTAATCTCTATGAGATCTATGATGGAATTTGCCGATACTTGATGAAAATCAATAGCTGACGTATTCAAAAAACACTTCATTATGAGATTTTCACCAAACAGTTTTATAAAAAGCAATACAATGGCTTCTTCGGGTGTGTTTTTACTCTATTTTTGAAGAGCAATGACACGCCTGGAGAAGCCATTGTATGGGAAAACACGTGTTGCGTTTTTGTTAAAATGTTTGGTGAAAATCTCACGATAAACTGTTTTTTGAATACGTTCTCTATAAGATCATTTTCTATAAAGATAGACAGCAGAACAGGATACAGAATCTGATCATCTCTCAATTGATTAATTATTTGAAAAAAATCTTTTTAAAATCTGTTTTTCCGTTAACCAGCTGTCTCACCCCTACGAACGGCAACCCTAAGAAGTCGACACTTGTGTGAGCTAGGGATTAACGAGGGTCTAACATAAAAAAATTATACTTTTTTACAACAAATTGATACTGAATAAACACCCTGGAAATGAATCATCAATTTTTATGAATTCAAACGCACACATATTTTATTTCCAAAAAAATTCAATAGTATTTTAATCTATCTTCAATGTACAAACTGAAAAATAGAGTTTTTTTTCGAAAACAGTACTTTTTATTCCTGCTGTAACTTATCGAGGTGGATTCGAAAGTTTGTCCCCACTATACCTCTCCATTCCAAATACTCAAAAAAGTCAATTTGTTCTCCAGCAGGAGAAGGCAAGCTCAAGAAAAAAATGGTATTGATGTATTCAGAATTGTACTTATGATGCACTGCTTGGAACCTTTGGTGTAGTAATGAATATTACTGGAGTTTTTTCCCAACACCAAATCGTTATTTTTAACACCTCGACACGTGTTTCGATTACCAAGTGATCGTCTTCAAAGAGGAAGATTAAAACTTCCTCTTTGGAGATGATCACTTGGTGATCGAATATTCAGTGTTCAGAATTGGTGATTGTGTCGTCAACATGAGTGGTTGGCTATCATATAATTGTTCATTTGGACGAATTCAAATTGTTGCTCCAAAAATGTCCAAAACAAAAATTGATTTTTAAAGATTACTTGAATAATATTCATTGAAGATAACACCATTAATACCATCACACGTGAATATCTTACCTCTGAAAGGTTTGTTAAACACGATTGTTCAATTGCATCTATCAATGATACAGTGTGAAACTGAACTTCATCTGGCAGACCCTCCTTTCTCAACTTTTTGCAGAATGAAGCAGCTGATTGAACATCGATAGTATTTGGTGCTTCGAAGTCAGATGATTCTAAAAAAGATACGATTCTGAAATACATTTATATACAGGGTGGGGCACCCCATACGACAAGGTTCCTGTAAACCACATTCTCGATTTCATCATATGTATATTAATTAAAGCTGCAGGAAAAAATATTTTGAAGTCTACAGGGTGGCTCAAAGAAGTGTGACATATTGAAGTTGTATTTTTTTAATGGATCACTCTCTATTTCGTTACATTTTTTAAAGGGTCAGGAAAAAATAATATGATTTCATATAAGGTACTATGTCCAGATGTCATAAGCGACTGTTTTCATGAACACACATTCTCAAGAAACATCCAGTATGTGTGTTCATTTAATCTGTCGCGTGTGACGTATTCAGATTTCATTCTTTTGACGTATATCAAAAGAATAAGAGCTATCACAATTTGACGCGAAAATTTTATAGAGATTTTCATGTATTGAAAACGGAAAAAGATTCTTTTCTGCAATGTCGACCGATAAAGAAAGCTAAGCACTGATATTCAATTTTTTAAATTATTTTTTTCAGTCTGCAGGCATAATTCATGAATACGACATGTTATGTAACTATAACCGTTTTCGAATTGACTTTTTCATGGAAATGATAGGTACAAATGGGAACTAAATGATCATAAAATGTATAAGAATATTTCCTTCGGATTCTGACCAAGCATAAAAGAGGTTTTAGGTTATTGATTTCAATGAAACCCGTTTCTCAGTACCACTCAAATTGTTGAGAAATCATTGTCTCTTTTATATCTTCGGACAAAGATAACTTTCTTATTTCAGATAGAACACCCTGTACTTTTTTGGTCTGAAAAATATAAAATTCAATTATCTTTCATTTCATTTTGGGGTTTCCTATACCTAACCTAAATAAATTTTTCAACTTGTATTTCTTATTTCAATGCATTCTTTGAATCAAGATATATTTGATTTGCCCACAGAATTCTCATTGACAGTTGTTTTACTTCACTTCAATGAAAATATTTACTGTTCACTGAAATGTAGTTATCATTTACATTTTTATTCTGACAATAGTTCATCAAACAAACTATGCATTTTTTTTATTATTCAAGTGCAACAAAAACAAAAAATCAAACACAAATGTATTTGATTCAAAGTAAGTGCTCGAAATGACGACCACCCTGTTGAATACAATCATCCACTCTCTCTGTGAAAGACTACTTAACATTTAATAACATTTGAGGCGTTACTTTTCAAAAAGCAGCCCTTATTATCTCCTTCATATTTTCCAGTGTCGTTGGAGGAGTGTCGTACATCTCATTCTCCAAGTATCCCCATAGGAAAAAATTGAGGCAAGTCAAATCTGGTGATCTGGCTGGCCAATTTTGTGGTCTTTCCGTACCAATCCGTTTATTGGAAAGCATATTTTGAAAAACTGTTTGACACTGAATTTGAAATGTGATCATTCAAGTTTTCATTAGAAAAGTGCGGTCCTATAACTTGTGTACCTATTAATTCCTTCCCACACGTTGACAGACCATCTATTCTGGTGATCCAGAGTGCGGAAAAAATGAAGATTCACATCATTATAATGGAAGTTGTGTATGTTCACTAAGCCATTGATATGAAAAGTGAATTCATCAGAAAATGAAATGCAACCAAAAAAAGTCGATTCGTCGGTGTTAATTTAATAATGGGCGATGCAAAAATACCTATGTAATTATATCATGAAAGTTCAGGATTGTTAATCGATTCATCTTCACGTTTCAGTGAATACTTTTTCAGTAAACTAATGAAAAGGTTTAAATTTCTGAATTCAGAAGAATCAGTAGACCCGCCCTGTAGGTTCGTTATTTTAACAGCATATTGCTGGGATGGTGGGTTGTCTAGTAAGCAGGAGTAAATAAAACCGAGGAGATTTTCATGGGTCAGGATTTAAAAACGATTCAGATTAGTATATATCGAAAAGCCAACACAGAAGCAAGGTTCTAGCAAGGGACTGCCTAAGAGTCTAAGGGATATAGTTACTTGCTCGTAGTGCGTGATTATTTTACCAAGTTTGTTCTTCTTCACCCTATGCGAAAAACTGATGCAAGAACTATTACGAGATTCATAGAAAATGATGTTATTCTTATGTTCGGGAGCTCTCAGATACTTTTGTGTGATAACGGAGTCCAATTCACGAGCAAAGAGTTCAAAAACCTCTGTGAGCGATATGGTGTTCGAATTTGATATAACGCCCGGTATCATGCGCAAGTAAATCCAGTGGAGAGGGTCAATAGAGTAGTGGGTGCTGCAGTGCGCTCTTATATTGTAGATGACAAGCACTAGGATTGGGAAACTGAAATCCCAAAGATAGGTTATGCCTTATGGACGGCAATCCATGAGGTTACTGGGTGCAGTACTGTTTACTTGAATTTTGGACGGTATGTTCCAATTGTCGATATTATGGTCGTTTAGATAACTGTCAGGGATATTGCCTGATCCCTTTCAATAGAGAGGCCTATCGTGAAGAACTAGCCAAATTGTCTTTCGAATTTGTCGAAGTTCAAGAACGTTTAACAAAATCGTACCAAAAGTATGCCCACACCTATAACCCGAGAAAGCGTAAAGAAGATCAATACGAAGTTGGAGATTTCATGTGGAAGAAGAACTATGTTTTGTCGAGAGGTTCTGAAGCTTTTGAAGCCAAGCTAGCTCCGAAAATATATTGTGTCGTGTTCTTAGAGTTATATCACCTTCAGTTCACGAGCTAAAAGATGTGCAAGAAAGAAAAAATTATAGGCGGTGGCACGTTAAAGACCTCAAACCTCATGTTGGTGAACAAGAAGATTGATCCGATGTTAATGCGCGAATAGATGGAATACGAATGGAGGAATAAATGTAGAATCATAATTTTATTTCACTTCAAATAGTCATAGCGTCATCTTCCTGTGAGTTATTTCGACCTTTTGCAGCCTTGTTAATATATTGAAAGTGATCCGTTTTATTTCAGTTTTATAAATAGTTTGTGAATAGTAGGTGATAAAAATATCAGAACTCATTAACATTTCTTCCAGAGAAGAAATTTTATTGAGGAAAGGGGAGTGTGTAACGGTTTAAATTTCTGAATTCAGAAGAATCAGTAGAGCCGGAGTAAAGCAGGAGTAAATAAAACCGAGGAGATTTTCACGGTCAGGATTTAAAAACGATTCAGATTAGTATCTATCGTGAAGCCAACACAAAAGCAAGGTTCTAGCAAGGGACTGTCCGAAAACTAAAAACATCTAAGGTCAGTCAAATTAATCAATTCAATATTTTCATTTCCTATTCTTGAAATATCGGTAGAGAATTCCATAGCACATGTTTTCAGGTTTTTTGGACAAGAATAATAAGATCACCTATGAAAGATTCACGTCGAGCACTGTCAGACCTTTTATTTATTTTTTTGGTGGTAAAAAAAAGCTTTCAATGCATATTTGTCTGGTAATGGAAGAAATACTTCGGAAAAGCTATAGTTGCATCATACATATCAGTCTTTGAGATATGAGGAGGCACTCTAAAAAGTACCAAGGGAGAGCCGTAGCAAGTATATAAGAAAAAATATCAAAAATGATGATAACCCGTGAGTAGAAGCCCCGATATTGTTGATATATTTTGGAGCGGTCTTAGTACTGAAATCTACAGTTCATTCCTAAAATTAGAGGATAGTTTTAAGCATTTTCCTTTTCTCTGTGCACCTAAGACAGCTGTTGACGGGGGTAATATCTATCGAGTTTGATTGACGTTAATCGAAAAGTAGATTCTGGATAAATTAAGATTCAGGCAGTTACTTTCAACTGCTCATTTGTTCCCTCATTTTCAATTTGCGTAAAGGTCTATCTCTATCAATTCAATACTCGAATCTTTTGATCCGATACATTCAGGCGGGCGCCCCAGCATTATCATCCAATAGCAGCTCCCCACACCGTGGAGTAAGCGATTAATGGGCCCGACAATCATGTGCACTGAGTAAACGTCGCGAGCCAAGAATGATAGCCTTCTGCATCTGTCCGGCTGAAATTTCTGCCTCAGTACGGCACGCCGGTATGATTTTTATTTTGAGATTGGAGAGTGGATAGGGCATCATCCCACAAAGGACTATAATAATGAGGACAACTATTTCAACAGACTGGTCTGGATAGAGGTCGAAGAGAAAATTTCGATATTTTATTTGTTTTCGGAAGATATTCGAGCAGCCAGGAGCTGAAAACTCCACCACGATAAATATCGTCTTGCTGTGATGGTTGAGATCAACTGCTTCAGACATACTACCTTGTATGAGCCTGAGAGTGGAAAACGAATAGTGTCAATGAATTCGGTACTTCTCGTTGAAGGTGTTGAAGACACCATTCTGGCAGGCCATGATGAACTCTTCAGTTTCTGACTACAGCCCACTCGACCTGCGGAAAGCGAAAGTCAGCCGCTTTGATAAGCTAAGGTCTTCAATGTTGTTGAAGAAGACCCCATGCATAGGCTTTTCCTTGTGTTGCCGCAGAAGTGAGGTGATCGCTGATATTAACCTTTTGCTGAACGGGTTTTAATTTGGTGACGGAGTTCTGATCACCTCGTTCAGAGTAAAAAAATCCTAACTCCTAACGATTTTACAGGCTCCATCAGTACCGTTCTGTTATGTAGATACTCCGAACTCAAAAGTCCATGGCCTCCCGGTTGTCAGGGGAAGTACAATCGTGGAATGGATACTTTGGGATGTAAATACCTGAGTCCACTTCACTACTCCAGATGAGTAAAGTAGATTAGAACTTTGTTTTTCCCCGGCATTTTCGATGACCAAATCTGTCGAAGTTTGTGTTGATACTTGCCGCGAATAGAGTTCTCCACTGCTGTTACCTCTTGTTAGTTGCGTTATTTCACCCTAAGGTGAGTTTTCGTCTCTCCGGTATCGAGATGGTGTAGGATTCTTCTATTTACGAACTGCATATTTCCTCCATAGTACCGTATCGTCCCCTTTTGTGGTGACCATTGCACATTTGTCTATTCCGAATTTCATATCGATAGCATGCGTGCACTATCATCGTCCTCACGGACTGATAGAGATCCTTCACTTCAGAGGCATAGAGTTTTAGATCATCCGTACGAAACAAATGCGTAACCTTGTGCCTCTGGTTTCTGGGGATGCCACAGTTATACCCACGAGTATTTCTGAGCGCAACGGATGATAGCAATAGTGAGATGCAAAAGAGGAAGGGACTGAGGAAATCACCCTGAAATACAGCCCTTCTGAAAGTGACCCACCCTGTTTGGATTCTAGCTTGACCAGATGTTGAAGTGAAACGAGTTCACCAGAGTGGTATCAGTTGTTCTAAGCATCTCACTATTTTGTCGGGCACCGCAAGCCATCTGAGCAAATGTAACATGAGCTCATGCAATGTTGTATCGAATGGGTTGCGGTAATCGTTGCAAGCCAAAGAGAGAGTAGGCTTATAGTGTATCGAGTCCTATGTTACACGTTTATCGACTATCAGGTTGTCTTTACATCTAAAGAATCCTCTTTTCGACTCTCTCCGCTCATATATCCTTTCAAATACTCGGTTAACTGCAGTGAGTATTTGTATGTATAAAATGCGCTTGTAAACAACTTATAACACGAATCTCCATTTTTGTGACTGAGAACGGTCCGCTCCTCAAAAAATCCAATCTGGAATCGGCTGCTCTCCGTCCAGCCATATGGCGGTGGGTGCTAAGTGGTTTTTTACCAATAGGTAAGTGTTCAGCCCATCCAGGCCTGTAACAGCAAAGTTTTTGGAACCCACAAGGATTCTTCGAACGTCATCCATGGTTATTGGGTTGCGCTGTTCATTGAGCTTAGGCTCTCGAACCTTTCTGCTGAATGCTTTGAACTGTGCTATGGCTGGAGTGTTATGGTTGAGTGGCTGCTGGTGTTCATAGATGTCCTTCCAGAATGTTTCCACCTGATCAGCGTTCAGTGGTTTATCCACAACATGTGAAGACTCTTGGAATAAGCGAGAGGGTTTCTCGCGAAAATTGAGTTTTTCCGCGATACTCCTCGCTCGCCCCACGATCGACTTCTTTGCAGCCACTAGCATTCGTATCCTATCAAGGCAGTACTGTTTGGTGATTGGCAGCACGCCTTGGCTAGCAGCACGTGTGGCTAGTCGCCACTGCGGGCGTGAAACACCTGTAATCCATCACACGTGTTGCCTCGCCTACGTGATCTAAGCATCCATCTTGTTAAATGCCGTTTCATCTTTCGAACCGCAAGGCCGAGATTTGGTTCTTCTGATCCGGAAAGCGATTAGACGACGCTATACACGGCGGTATTAATTTGTCAATTTGACAGATTTCAGCCTCTCCTGTTAGAACACTATGAATTTCTGCATTCAAACAAGCCATTTCTTGTGACTTCAGGAGCCTTATTCTGTGGAGCGCCCTGCGTATTCTTATTGTTTCTATTGGTAGCATGATGCTACCAATAGAAACAACGGCAGCTGTGCCAACGGGTGGTTGAACTATCACTTCTACCACTTCGTTAGCAGGCTGGGAAGAAGCTATATAGCCCTGCCGCATAAAAAATATACTTACTCCCTAAGATTTTGAGCGGAAAAGGCGGCATGCTCCGGATGTGTTCCACACCACAGATCGGCACGAGCTGATCACTGGTCAGGTCGAATCCTTCTGGAAAACATTTATGAACACCCGCAGCCACTCAACTTACACACTACAGCCCTAACGCAATTCGAAGCTTTCAGCAGAGAGTTCCGAACCTAATTGCCGCTCGAAGAGCCCTTGCAGCTCCCAAGAACTTTGTTGCTCCTGGCTCAGATGGGCTCATGGCTGGACGGATAGCAGCCGATTCCAGAATGGTTTTTTGAGAGGCAGACTCTTTCCATTCTCAAAAGCAGAGATTTGTTGATTCCTAAGAATTACAGATCGATGCCATGCCTAAATTCCTGTTATAAGTTGTGTACAAGCATCTGATACGCACTAATACTCACCGCGGTTGACCGAGTATTCGAACATATATATGAATAGAGAGTGTCAAAGAGAGTGGTAGCTCCCTATAGCCGCAAGGCATTTGATACATCACATGAGCTCATGTTATATTTGCTCAGATGGCTTGCGGTACCCGGCAAAATAGTGAGATGCCTTGAACAACTGATACCACTCTGGTGGACTCGCTTCACTATAACATCTGATCAGGCTAGAGTCCAAACAGGAATGGGTCACTTTCAAAAGGGGTGTATTTGAGGGCAATTTTCTGTCTCGAGAATATAACTGTGACACCTACGGAAACCAGAGGCACACAAGGTCACTAATTTGTTTGATATGGATGATCTCAAACTTTAGGCCTCTGAAAAAAATTATCTCAATCAGTTCTTGAATTCGGTGAAAGGGTACACGCATGCTATCGTTAGACTCACCCTGGAGTAAAATAACGCCACCCACAAAAGATAACAGCGGTGAAGGATTCTCTCCGCGACAAGTATCAGCACAAACTTCGACATATCTGGCCTTCGGAACTTTCTTGGAAAAACAAAGTTGTTGCAACAAACATGTTCGCCGTTCCATTCTTACTTTACTCATTTGAAAGAAAAGCTGTATCAACTCGACTTATGGACGCAAAAACTGATGCATCTCCATAGAAGTGAGGTGTCTGAGACTCTACTGCACTTGCTATCAGCATGTCCAGCATACTCATATGCGGTTGGTCTTTATTCATTGACATAACGCGGCCCTGAAAGTGCTTTAATGCCACCTGCATCACTCTTTCGGCATTGAAGAAACTCCTGTGTTGCTTTACGCTCTAAGGGATATTGAATTCGTTGTGAGGAACGAGAAGTGGCGAATTTATTGGAACTATTCGTTTCCCACGTTCAGGAACATACAAGTTGATAAGCCTGATGTAGCCGCTCTCGGCCAACAGACCAAGACAATATTTGCCGTGGAGTTTTCAACTCCTGACAGGACGAATATCGTCCGAAAAGAAAAATTGAAAACATTTACTCTACGAACTCCGCAGTCTCTATGCAGACTACTCAAGGCAGATATATTAGCCGGACAAATGCAGAAGGCTCTCATTCTTGGCTCCCTGATCTTTCTCAGGGCACATGACTCTTGAACCCAATGATCATTCACCTCACGGTGTGAGACGTTTGTTGTAAATACTGGCGCGCCCTCACGAATGTATCGGGGCTTCGGGATTTAAGGTTTGATCATCTCAAAATTATATTGAAAAGCATAACTAACAATTTTCTCCATATTCATTTTTTATATAAATTGTACACTTCTGTTTGCAGTGCTTGTTTTGGATTCATTCTATGCCAGCTGTTCCAGTTCCATCTTTGAATTGTTTCTGTTTTACCTAATGAATCACTTTGAAGGTTACATTTTGTGCTGTTTTTATGTAGATGAGTGCTCACCTATTTCAAAATTACTTCGTTTCTGTTTGAATATTTTGTGTTGTGCAAATTTCAACGAAGATCGTTTTTATTAGTTACATTCCCGGCCTTGCCCAACCCGGGCGAGGTTCATAAAATATATTATGATAAATTGTTGATTTTCTTACCTTCATAAAAAACATCCAAGCGATTGATGATAGATGGATCAGTACAAACGGCCAATATTATGTTGTCAGATTCCGGTTCGATGACCCATCCACGAATCAATAGGTTTTCCGACGTTATGTCGAAAATTTCATTTATTTTTGATTTCAATTGAGCTAAAAATGAAAGAGTGGTCACATAACATTTTGAAATAAGAAATACGGACTACTTCTAAAGGAGTCATTCAGAATAGAAACTTTGAAAAATACATGTGCCTTGATACATTATCGAAAATGTGCTGAATGACTTTTGAAGATAATGTATGTTTTCCGAGACTCAAAAACGAAGAAAATTGGTTCCAATTTTCGACGGGAAATAGTATAACCTGACTTCGACAATGTATTTCTGGAACGAAATGTTGAGAAATACATTGGACGTGCTATGATGGTGGTAGCTGAAATTGATGAGAAAAGTGTATATCCGAATCGCAAACACTCACAAATATACTTTCAATTTATATATTTTTTATGTTCATGTAATTCAGCTCTCTCACGTTTCAATTTTTGAGGGTTGTCATTCATTGCCTCCAGAATCATTGATTTTCCATATATTATTGAAAACAACTCAAATTTTTTTCTCAGCCAAACATAAAAACGGTTGTAATGTTACATTTTTCATTGTTCATGTGGAATAATATTTTTGGTTTTCATATTTTACCAAGTTGAAAAATACTCTGCAATGTTACTCCACCTTATGAAAATCCGTTATGAGTGTGTTATTAACATAATTTCTAGAAGTTGCGCCGGTAGGGGTCTCTTCATGGACTTTCGATACTAAGGAGGTTGCTGTATTTCTCGATATTGAAGTACCATTTGACAATGCACTACATGAATCTATAGGATTATTCATGGCTGGAAAAGGCATTGAATCGACCATAACTGGCTGGATCTATGCTATGCTGGTAAATAGAACTGCAACTACGACGAGGCCATTGGGTTCAGGGTCACCAGGGGCTGCCCGCAAGGTGGTCGCTCCTGATGGATAATCTATCGACAGAAAAGAAGTCTGCAAGCTAATGCATTTTGGCAAGGTCCACTTCAGAAAGAGTAGCTTGTAGTATTCTCAAAAGTACGGTGGTCGTTGTGCACAGTTGGTGCCAGAGGAAGCAGATGTCTGTCAACCCCAACAAAACTGTGACAATTACTTTCACTAGGAGAAGAAAATTGGACGATTTAACGCCACTCTTTCCCAATGGTAAGATCATTCCATTTTGAACGAAGGTGAAATATCTTGGCATTGTCCTTGACGAAAAACTTATCAGGAATGCACATTTGAAAAAAGTTTTTCATACAAAGCCCTATGGACATGTCAGAAAAATAATTAAGTTTGGGGTTTAGGTACCAAACAAGTCCATTGGATTTATGTGACGATTGTTAGACAAATGATCACTTATGGAGAAATTCCTGGCGGCCGAAAGCTTTACAGAAAAATGGCTCAGGCGAAGCTCTCTGGCTTACAGGGACAGGGTTATCTGGCCATCTGTGGTCTCATCAGCACCACTGTCAGCGCCTATGAAAATTCCTCTAGCTCTACCTCCTCTCCACATTTTTCTGGAATGAGAGGCTGGATGGACTGTATTTGTATAGACTTGTGCACATCGCCAATTGCACAAATAAATCTAATGCAGATTACAATAGACTGCTTATTAACACTGGAAATCACAGCATTCTGGAAATGGCCTCTGACATTAAGCCTCCAACTGCCAACAACGTATTGCCTTATACAGTACTGTTCCTAAGTAGAGAGGACTGGTTCCTCCGGAAGAATGAAATAGTAAAAGCAGATAGTTGTTGGTTCACAGATGGATCAAAAACGCCTTCGGGTTCTGGTGCAGGTATTTTCAGTCGCAGACACAGGTCAGAGATGTCAACCTGCCTAGGGACCTTTGCGACTATATTGCAAGCGAAAATATATGCAATTGAATTGTGTGCAGAGAGATTGGTAGAATCCAACCTCATAGACAAGTCAATACAAATATTCTAGGTCAGTTAAACAGCGTTGGAAGATCTTGGCTCCTACCGAGTAACGTCTAAATTGGTATCATATTGTCAAAAACGATCCTCCTCAATAGAAAGACTCAACAAACTGTATCTGGTCTGGATTCCTGACCCTGACTATACCTGGAAGGCAATAAAGCTCCTGACTCCCTTGCAAAGAAGGGTGCTGCAAACAGCTCCATTGGACCAGAACCTGCCATTAACATTGCTTTAAGCTTTACCAAACAAATGTTGAACACCTGGATGTCAAGAAGATTTATGGACTTCTGGCAAAATCTTCCAGGATTGGCTTACTCAAAGGCGTTCATTCACCCTTCGAAGTTGGACCACAGTAAGGATGAACTTCTCACATGTCACTGTTGTCCGAATCATCATATGCAGAGACACACTGTCGGAAGACAGTGTATGTCGACCTTGTTTGGAGAATGGTGAAACATCAGAGTACATACTTTGTGCCTGCCCTGCTGCAGACTAAATCAGGTTTTCAGAGTTTGGCAGGGCCGCACTCTTACCATCTGACCTGAAAGATTACTAACTCACTAATCGGCTTCGTAAAGAAGCTGGGTTTATTTGGTCGAGTGTGAATAGGTGTGCCACAATAAACTATTGCGGATCGCGATGGAGAGTCGGATAGACCTACTCATTTTTGACCTAATCTATCATGAGGTGAGTGATCACTCTATCCAAAAATCATATGCCGTAAGTAGACGCAATCAAGCAAGAAGGACAGCCTTCCACGTTCGTCCAGCCAAGACTTCTCCCTTGATATGGCAAGTCGCTTTGATTTCGAGATTGAATCATAGGGAGGGTAGGCATACCATCAAAGACACCAATAATCAGTTCAAACATCGAACACAGTGATCTAGATGAAACTTGCGGAGCTCGAAAAAAATGTATTGTTATTTTATTCGTCTTTCCGTCTCTTTAAGACTAAATTTGTTTCACACGAAGTAGTAGGTGCAACACGAGTATCGTTCTGCTCTGTTGGTCGACAAAAGTTACATCTATTATTATTTTTGAAGAAGATTTCGCTTTTCTTATCCTCTCCGCGAAACCGGATACATTCGGAAGGCTATGCCAGCATCATCAACCAATGAACAATATCCACTTCGTTATTGGAGTAATCATTTGGTCCCAGATTCAAGTTTTCTGAGCAGGATGGCAGTTTTCTACAATCGTCTGGCCAGGATTCTTGCCTCAGTCCGGCAAGATATTGAGATTGGAGAGAGATTTGTTCTCTACTTCTTACAGATTGTTCCTTGCCATTTCTATATTCGAAATGATATTCATTCCGACGTGTCATGAATAATTTTTCTCTACCGATTCAAATTCAACCTCCATCTTATCAACATATATCTCCTTTTTCATCCTCCTCAGCAGATCTACATAATGTGTGTTTTTTGAGCTCACCTCCTGTTTGACTACAAAAGTATCTCTCCGCAACCCTGGTCACTTTTTCGGCTTCGTTTGATTCCATGTATCACTTACGTCGTTTCTACCGATTTCTTTGAGCCTTGGTCCAACAGATATATGCTTTTAGCTCATTGTTTTTCAAAGCACAATTCATTAGGTTTCGCAGGTGTTTTCACGATTGATCATGTGTCACTGTTATAGCCAGTCTCTTTCTTGTCGAGATTTCTCAATTTACTCAGAATTCAGACATCTCGTATTTATCCTTCTTCTTCTCGTTTTCAATGTGTATTTGTGAAAAATTATTTTCTTTTTTCTCTTTCACTTCAGTGTCCTTACTATTTCTTGAATATGCCATTTTTCTCGATGACGATATGCAACTCTCCAGTGTTGTGACTTAACCTGGCCTTTCTTGTAATGAAAGCGTTTTCCTTCTTCGGGTTGACCAGTGCGACAATTTCCCATTCCGTCGGTGTGTAGAATGGGTTCTCGACTTTCGCTTTTGTTTTCTAATAGTCGCCTTCTAGCTAGTTGGAGCATATGACTTTTTCCTATTGTTTTCCAGAGTACTGTACCTTACAGGTTGACTAGTTGTTTGAGGAGTTCATCTCAAACTATACTTTGAGTTCCATTTCCCGTCTGAGCCAGTCCTGGAATTTCAGTTGGTTACTGATATTAAGAAGTTTTGTGTTGGTGTCTTTGATGGCATTCTTTTTGTTCACGTTGATTTTCACTGCATCCGCTATTTTCCTGATCCGTATGTCTGACTCATTCATGAGTTTTTTATCCTTTGCCTCTCTCCAAAGTGCGACAATTTTTTCCTCTCAATAGGTGGGCTTTCATTTTCTGCCTACCTTTTATTCTTCGGATTCGAATCCGTTGCATTTTTCCTACCGGTTGTTTTCGTTTTCATTCCCACGTGAAGTATCTGCGATGTGAAGATTTGTTGGCCCCTTTGCTAACACTTTCTTCTGTTTTCCGCTTCTAGTTTCATCAGGTACTGTCTCCGTGGGTTATCTATTGAGCGCGTCCCCAGGTGGCAGATAGGGGAACGGCCAGGGGTCTGGGGGCCCTGCCCGGAAAGCCAATGTGGCCTTACGGACGGGATCGTCGGACTCCTGGTCAGTGGCAGAAATGAGTAGGGTGTGAGGAATCGTGCCGACAGCTGAATGGCCGCAGGGTGATATGCGGTCACGAACGATCCCCTTGGGCGAAACCTCATTCTAATCAGCCTTCCTCTGGAAATGCGGGGCTCCGCCAGAGGTGACGAACTCTTTCCTTACTACTCGTAGGAATACACCTGAATGAAACAACAGAAACAACAAAAACAAAAACCAATCCCGAGGCTGGACAGAAATGCTCACCTCAATCTATGAGGGTGGCTGAGGATGAACAGGAAGGCGTAAGCGCATTTGCGTCGCCAAGACCAAAAGGAGAAAAAGAACGAAAGAGGCAGGAGTGGCAGCAACTATGAGTGCACCCTTCTGCACTTCCACTCCACCTCCAACAGCAAGGGCACTTTCTGCGGCGAGCGCCAAGAGCTCCACCTTGAAAAAAGGCAAGGAATTGGCTGCTCCTGCGACAATAATGTCGCTGCACCTTCCAAAATCTTCGTGGAGGCCGCCTTGAGGAACCTCAAGGTTGCCTTCATAGATGAGACTAACCCGTACGGTAAGGTTACCGCAGAACGGGAGAGTCTCATCAAAATA